AAAGAAATTGTTGGGACCCTCGAGAAGGTTTTATCTTTTTCAAAAAAAGTGACAGTTAGGGCCGAGAAGGTTTTATATTCTTTAAAAAGACACATGGGGCTCCCGAGACGGTTTCACATTTTTAAAAAATATATATTTGAGAGCTTCGAGAAGAATTCAGCTTCTCAAAAAGGGCACCCCCAAGAAGATTTCATATTCTTAAATAAAAGCTTGAGACCCCCGAGAAGATTTTATCTTCTTCAAAAAAGTGACAGTTGGGAGCCCGAGAAGGTTCTATATTCTTAAAAAAGGCACATGGGGACCCGAGGTTTTATCTTCTTTAAAAAAATTATAGTTGGGACCCCGAGAAGGTTTCGGCTTCTTAAAAGAAATTGTTGGGACCCTCGAGAAGGTTTTATCTTCTTCAAAAAAAGTCACAATTGGGGCCCCGAGAAGGTATTATATTCTTTAAAAAGACACATGAGGCTTCCGAGAAGGTTTCACATTCTTAAAAAATATATATTTGGGAGCCTCGAGAAGAATTCAGCTTCTCAAAAAGAGCAGTTGGGATCCCCAAGAAGATTTCATATTCTTAAATAAAATGTTGGGACCTCCGAGAAGGTTTTATCTTCTTCAAAAAAATTACAGTTGGGACCCCGAGAAGGTTTCGGCTTCTTAAAAGAAATTGTTGGGACCCCCGAGGTTTTATCTTCTTCTTCAAAAAAGTGACAGTTGGGGCCCCGAGATGGTTTTATATTCTCTAAAAAGACACATGGGGCTTCCGAGAAGGTTTCACATTTTTAAAAATATATATTTGGGACCCTCGAGAAGAATTCAGCTTCTCAAAAAGGACAGTTGGGCCCCCAAGAAGACTCCATATTCTTAAATAAAAAGTTGGGACTCCCGAGAAGGTTGTATATTCTTCAAAAAAATTACAGTTGGGACCCCGAGAAGGTTTTATCTTCTTCTAAAAAGTGACAGTTGGGGCCCCGAGAATGTTTTATATTCTTTAAAAAGACACATGGGGCTTCCGAGAAGGTTTCATATTTTTAAAAAATATATATTTCGGAGCCTCGAGAAGAATTCAGCTTCTCAAAAAGGGCAGTTGGGACCCCAAGAAGATTTCATATTCTTAAATAAAAAGTTGGGACCCCCGAGAAGGTTTTATCTTCTTCAAAAAAATTACAGTTGGGAACCCGAGAAGGTTTTATCTTCTTCAAAAAAGTGACAGTTGGGGCCCCGAAAAGGTTTCGGCTTCTTAAAAGAAATTGTTGGGACCACCGGGAAGGTTTTATCTTCTTCAAAAATAGTGACAGGTGGGCCCCGAGATGGTTTTAAATTCTTTAAAAAGGCACATGGGGCTCCCGAGAAGGTTTCACATTTTTAAAAAATATATATTTGGGAGCCTCGAGAAGAATTCAGCTTCTCAAAAAGGGCAGTTGGGATCCCCAAGATTTCATATTTTTAAATAAAAAGTTGGGACCCCGAGAAGGTTTTATCTTCTTCAAAAAAAGTGACAGTTGGGGCTCCGAGAAGGTTTCGGCTTCTTAAAAGAAACTGTTGGGACTCCCAAGAAGGTTTTATCTTCTTCAAAAAAAGTGATAGTTGGGGACCCGAGACGGTTTTATATTCTTTAAAAAGACACATGCGGCTCCCGAGAAGGTTTTATATTCTTAAATAAAAAACATAAGGAGCCCTCGAGAAGGTTTCACATTTTTAAAAAATATATATTGGGGGCCCTCGTAAAGGATTCAACTTCTTAAAAAAGGCAGTTGGGACCCCCAAAAAGGTTTCACCATCTTAAAAAAAAGGCAGTTGAGGGCCCCGAGAAAGTTTAGCATTCTTTTAAAAAAAGGCACAAGGGCCCTAAGAAGGTTTCGGTCCCTTAAAAAGAACTGTTGGGACCCCAGAGAAGGTTTTCTCTTCGTCAAAAATAGTGACAGTTGGGACACCGAGAAGGTTTTATATTCTTAAAAAAGACACATGGGGTTTCCGAGAAGGTTTCACATTTTTAAAAAATATATATTTGGGAGCCTCGAGAAGATTTCAGCTTCTCAAAAAGGGCAGTTGGGATCCCCAAGAAGATTTCATATACTTAAATAAAATGTTGGGACCCCCGAGAAGGTTTTATCTTCTTCAAAAAAATTACAGTTGTGACCCCAAGAAGGTTTTATGTTCTTCAAAAAAGTGGCAGTTGGGGCCCCGAGAAGGTTTCGGCTTCTTAAAAAAAATTGTTGGGACCCCCGAGAAGGTTTTATATTCTTTAAAAAGACACATGGGGCTCCAGAGAAGGTTTCACATGTTTAAAAAATATATATTTGGGAGTTTCGTGAAGAATTCAGCTTCTCAAAAAGATTTCATATTCTTAAATAAAATGTTGGGACCCCCGAGAAGGTTTTATATTCTTTAAAAGACACACGGGGCTCCCGAGAAGGTTTCACATTTTTAAAAATATATATATTTGGGAACCTCGGGAAGAATTCAGCTTCTCGAAAAGGGCAGTTGGGACCCCCAAGAAGATTTCATATTCTTAAATAAATGTTGGGCCCCCGAGAAGGTTTTATCTTCTTCAAAAAAGTGACAGTTGGGGTTCCGAGAATGTTTCGGCTTCTTAAAAAGAAATTGTTGGGACCCCCGAGAAGGTTTTATATTCTTTAAAAGACACATGGGGCTCCCGAGAAGGTTTCACATTTAAAAAAATATATATTTGTGAGCCTCGAGACGAATTCAGCTTCTCAAAAAAGGGCAGTTGGGACCCCCAGGAAGATTTCATATTCTTAAATAAAATGTTGGGACCCCCAAGAAGGTTTTATCTTCTTCAAAAAATGACAGTTGGGACCCCGAGAAGGTTCTATATTCTTAAAAAAATGCACATGGGGCCCCCGAGAAGGTTTTATCTTCTTCAAAAAAGTAACAGTTGGGGCCCCGAGAAGGTTTCGGCTTCTTAAAAAATAAATGGTCGGGACCCCCGAGAAGGTTTCGTATTCTTAAATAAAAAGTTGGGATCCCCGAGAAAGTGTTATCTTCTTCAAAAAAATAACAGTTGGGACCCCGAGAAGGTTATATATTCTTAAAAAAAAGGAAAATGGGCCCCCGAAACAGTTTCCCATTTTTAAAAAATTCATCTTCTTAAAATAGGTTGTTGGGACCCCTAAAAAGGTTTTATTTTCTTAAATAAACAGTTGGGCCCCCCCCAGAAGGTCTCACCTTCTAAAAAGAAGACAGTTGGGGGCCCCGAGAAGGTTTTATCGTCTTCAAAAAAAGTGATAGTTGGGGCCCCGAGAAAGTGTCGCCTTCTTTAAAAAAAAGACAGTTGGGCGGTCCGAGAAGGTTTCATATTCTTAAATAAAAAGTTGGAACCTCCGAGAAGGTTTTATCATCTTCAAAAAAGTGACAGTTGGGACCCTGAAAAGGTTTCACATTTAAAAAAAATATATATTTGGGGCCCTCGAGAAGGATTCAGCTTCTTAAAAAAGGACAGTTGGGGGCTCCCAAGAAGGATTCATATTTTTAAATAAAAAGGTGGGCCCCCCGAGAAGATTTCATCATCTTAAAAAAAGACAGTGGGGGTCCCGAGAAGGTTTTATATTCTTAAAAAAAGACACATGGAGCCCCCTGAGAAGATGTATTTCGCATTCTTAAAAAGAAACTGTTGGGTGCCCTTTAAAAAAAACGTATACATATATTTGAGGTTCTCGAGAAGATTTTATCTTCTTCAAAAAAATGACAGTTGGAGCCCCGAAAAGGTTTTATATTCCTAAAAAAAGAACACATGGGGCCTCCGAGAAAGTTTCACTTAAAAAATAAATAAACATTTGGGGCCTCGAGAAGCAAACAGCTTTTTAAAAAAAGACGGCTAGGGCCCTCAAGAAGGTTTCACATTTTTAAATAAAAAGTTGGAACCCCCGAGAAGGTTTTATATTCTAAAAAAAAGATACATGGGGCACCGAGGAGATACCACATTTTAAAAAAATATATAATTGGGGCCCTCGAGGAGGCTTCAGGTTCTTAAAGAAAAGGTAGTTTGAGCACCCAAGGTTTCATATTCTTAAAAAAACATTTAAACAGACAGTTAGGACCTCTAAGAATGTTTCACAATCTCCCTTCTTAAAAAAACGACAATTAAAGCCCGGAGAAGGTTTCACCTTTTTAAGAAAAAACAGTTGGGACCCTCGGGAAGGTTTCACATCCATTAAAGAAAAGACAGTTGGTTGCATATTTAAATATATATATATATATATATTTGGGGTCCCCGAGAAGTGTTAATCATTTTCAAAAAAATGACAGTTGCTGCCCCGACAAGGTTTTATAACAAAAAAAAGACACATGGGACCTCCCAAGAGACTTCAATTCTCAAAAAAACACTTGGATCACCTAGATGGTTTCATTTTCTTAAAAAAAATAAACAGTTGGTACCCTCGAGGTTCCACATTCTTAAAAAAAAAAATTCCAAAATGATTGCGATAAATATTCCTTCGCCCTTGCACTGTAGTCCGACAATCCAACTTTTTTAAAACGTTATAAAATTTGGGTTTGCGATTTTGGTTATTATATCTGCACAAGTATGGACAATATGAAATATATTCACAGCAGATAACCCACGGGAAAAAATGTAAATATACTCAATATTTCAGTATATGCTTAACATCGACTGTTTATGTTTATATGTGAAGGAGCACCATATTTTATAAAATTGAAACAATATTTACTAAAATATAAATTTTGGAGAGGACGTCGTCCTATTGGACAGAAGACAGACTGACTTTAAAAATAGCCAGTCCTCCATTGGACTCGTTCACAAACGAGTAAAAAAGTGAATTTGTTCTTTAGTGAGTATACAACATAATTTTGATTTTTTTTTTTAAAGGAGTAATACGATAAAAAGCAATGTAATAAGAAGCAAAATATGTATAATTACCTACTTAATTATGACGTGGCCTGGAAGAGTCAAAATTTGTTTTTATAAAGGTCATAAATAAAAACAAGAGTCATGATGACAGGATTTGTTGTATTTTTCGCAGTGGGGACAGAATACAATCGACCTTGCGCATTCTAACCATCTTCTGAGCTGAAAACCACGTCAACGTTTCGGCCATCGACATTAAAAGCAGTACCGCAGTACCTGCATCCACTTACTGTACATTGCACTCCAACCCAGCAACTTCTTTCCCTGCTGTTAGCACCAATCAGTTAGCAACATCCACATTTACATTTAATTAAAGTGAATCACATCGCCAAGGTCATCCACACCACAGCTGCACTAACTGGGTTACTGTGACAACAACTTTTATCAAGTACCATATAACATCAAGCTCTCGCTGCATTCGTACTAATCGTTCACGATGGCACCGACTCTCTACATGATCCACCCCAGCCCTCCGGTACGGACAGTACTGATGACGGCCAAGGCCATCGACTTGACCCTCAACGAAAAGGAAATCGACTTCTTCGGGGAAGAGTACCTGACACCGGAATACCTAAAGGTACGGTCGCTTTTATCGTAGTCTAGGTACTACTAATATCATTTTTGTAGATGAATCCTCAGCACACTGTTCCAACTCTGGACGACGACGGCTTCACCATCTGGGACAGCCACGCCATAAGCACCTACCTGGTGTCCAAATACGCCAAAGACGACTCACTCTACCCCAAGGATTTGCAAAAACGGGCCGTAGTGGATCAAAGGTTGCACTTTGAGTCCGGGATCATCTTCTCCCGGCTATTACGAATAACCGTAAGTTCGCTTTTACCACACCATCTATAAACTAATTTGGAGTTTGCAGAGACCCATTCTCTTCCACGGCAGGCCAACCATATTCCCGGAGGATAGAGACAACATGATCGACGGTTATGCTCAGTTTGAGGCCATCCTGGAAGGGAAGACCTTCGCAGCTGGTGACTATGTCTCAGTGGCCGATTACAGCCTCCTTTCTTCCATTGGGAGCATCGCGACTTTGGTGCCCATCGACCCCGAGAAGTTCCCTAGAGTGACGGCGTGGCTCCAGAGAGTCCAGGCTCGTCCCGAATGTGCCGTCAACAAGCGAGGACAAGACGAGTTCGCTGTTCTGTTCAAGAGCAAATTATCAAAAGAGTGATGTAGTGTTCTCTAATAAAGAGCATCTTGTTTTACATGAAAGCGTTTAAATCGGAAATGCATATCGTGTTAGGCTCTTCAAGCGTTAATTACAAACTGATGTGAATATTTTATCGCCAGTTCAGTACACACATGTTGCCTAGATTGTACATGTTTCATGGGAGCCCTCCGGCAAGGGCTGTCCTAATTACAGCCAGAGCCATCGGTCTAGATTTGAACAAAATCGAAATTAACGTGATGAAAGGGGAGCACTTGAAACCCGAATACCTGCGAGTGAGTATTTTTAGAAAAATGTAACGAGAGAGACTTTAGTAGATGAACCCCCAACACACGATTCCTACTTTCGTGGACACGTGCGGCTTCGTTCTTTGGGATAGTCATTCAATTATGACTTATCTGGTGTCGAAGTATGCCAAAAATGACAAGCTTTACCCGGAAGAGTTGAAAAAACGGGCAACTATCAATCAAAGGTTGTTTTTTGAAGCGAGCGTTGTGTATCCTTACTTGAGAAAAACTTCAGTAAGAAATTTGAAATTTGAGTTTCTTTGGTTAAAATTTGAGTTTTAGCTGTCGGTACTTTTCAAAGGCAAAAATAGTCTGGATCAAGAAGACAGGAAGGCAGCGAATGAGTGTTACGGTTTTTTGGAGAGTTTCTTAGATGGGAGGGAGTGGGTGGCCGGGGAAAATCTTAGTATCGCCGATTATAGTCTACTGGCGTCAATTTCGACTCTCAATTTGTTAATTTCGGTTGATGAGGGGATGTTTCCGAGAGTGATCGCTTGGTTGAAGAAGTGCGAAGAGCTGCCAGAGTGTGAGGACAACAAAAAGGGGCTTCAAGAAATGTCGCTTTTGGTTCAAACTAAGCTGAAAGTGGTCACAGAGTCCATGGTCAATCACATCTGATTTTTGTAATAAAAATGTAGTGTCAATAAAACTCTCAAAAGGTTATTTTGATAGAACTTTCCTCGTCCCGGAAGTATTACTAGTAATAAAAATGGTAAAATAAAAGTTGTACTGATTCAAGATGGACTCATAAATCACACCGCTCAGGCCAGTGGGTAATCGAAAAATTGAAAAAATCGAAAAACCAAGATGTCAAGAAATCGAAACTCGAAAGTTTAAGAAATCGAAGAATTGAAAAATCGAAACATCAAAAAATTGGAAAATTGAGAGACTGAACAGTCAAAAAGTTTAAAAATTCGAGGAATTGAAAAATTAAAATATTGAGAAATGGAAAGATCAAAAGTTCGAGAAATCGAAAAGTCATGAAGTCGGAAAATCGAAAAATTGAGAAACCGAAATAGGCCAAAATTGAAAAATTTTAAAAATGAAAAATTAAAATATCGAAAATTTGAAATATGGAAGAATTGACATGAAAAATCGAGAAATCGAAAAATCTCATAATTTAAAAATTGCCGAATTGAAATATCAAAAAATTGAAAAATGTAAAATTTAAACATCGAAAAATCAAAAAAGTGAAGTCGAAAAATCAAAACCTTAAAAAAATCGAAACATTAAAAAAGTAAAAACCCAAAAAAGCGAAAAATTGAAGAATTGAAGAGCAGGAAAATTGAAACACTCGAAAGTCACAAAATGGGAAAAACAAAACATGTATTAATTGCAAAAACATGTATTAATTGCAAAATCGAAAAACTGAAAGTTTATAAGAGTCAAATTTGACAAAATTAAAAAAACGAAAAATTGAAAACAGAAATCTGAAACAGGGAAGTCGAAAAATGGAAAAATTAAGAAATCGAAACATGTATCAATTGAAAAATCGAAAAATTGAGAGTTTATAAAAGTCAAATTTGAAAAATTGAAAAATCGAAAGATTTGAAAAATTTGAAAAATCGAAAAACCTAAAATTCTAAAAATTAAAAAATTAGAATATCAAAAAATTCAAAATTGTAAAATTGAAGTGAAACATTGAAAAAACGTAAAACTCAAACAAAATCTTAAAAACGAAAAATTAAAAAATTGAAACATTTGAAAATTCGAAAACTTGAAAAATGGAGAAATTAAAAAATCTAAAATTTTAAAAATTTAAAAATTAAAAAAGTAAAAAAACGACACATCGAAAAATGGAAAAGTCGAAGCATCGAAAAATTGAAAAATTCCAAAATAAAATATCGAAAAACTGAAAAATGAAAGAAAATTGAAGAATGGAATAACTGAAAAATCCTAAAACTGAAATATCCAAAAATTAGCATTTAAAAAACTGAAAATTTGAGAAATCGAAAAATCAAAAAAGTTAAGTCGAAAAATTGAAGAATTGAAGAGCTGGAAAATCGAGACAGTCGAAAGTCAAGAAATGGGAAAATCAAAACATCGATTAATTGAAAAATCAACAAATTGAGAATTTAGAAAAGTTAAAAATTGAAAGATTGAAATATTTAAAAATTGTAAAATTGAAGTGAAACATTGAGAAAACGTAAAACTGAAACAAATCTTAAAAATGAAAAATGAAAAAATCGAAATATTTGAAAATTCGAAAACTTGAAAAATTGAAATATCGACAAACTGAAATGAAAAATCGAGAAATCAAAAAATCTAAAATTTTAAAAATTTAAAAATTAAAATATAAGATTCAAAAATCTAAAACTTAAAAATTAAAAATTGGAAAATTCCAAAATAACATATTGAAAAACTGAAAAATGAAACAAAATTGAAGAATAGGAAAATCGAAACGCTCGAAAGTCAAGAAATGAGAAAATCAAAACATGCATTAATTGAAAAATCGAAATTTGAGAGTTTATAAAAATCAAATTTGAAGAACCGAAAAATTGAAAATTTGAAAAAACGAAAAATTGAAAAACAGAAAATCTAAATCAGGAAGTCGAAAAATCGAAAGATTAAGAAATCCAAACATTTGAAAAATTTTAAAACTTGAAAAACTGAAACATCGAAAAATTGAAATGAAAAATCGAGAAATCGAAAAATCTAAAATTCTGAAAGTTGAAAAATTAAAATATCCAAAAAACAAAAAATTCAAAAATCGAAAAATTGAAAACTTGAAAAAGTAAAAAAATCGACACATTGAAAAACTGAAGAATCTCAAAACTAAAATATCCAAAAAATGAGAAATTAAAAAATTGAAAAATGGGGAAACTAAAGGCAAAAAGTGAAGTCGAAAAATAAAATATTTAAAAATCGCAAAATTGAAGAGAAAAATTGGAAAAACGTAAAACTGAAGCATTGGAAAATTTTAAAAACGAACAATTAAAAAATCGAAAATTTTAAAAAACGAGGAATTGAAAAACAGAAAATCTAAAATCGAGAAGTCGACAAATCGAAAACTTGAAAAATTGAAATAGCAAAAAATTAAAATCAAATATCGAGAAATCAAAAAATCTAAAATTTTAAAAATTAAAAAATAAATATCAAAAGATTGAAAAAATTAAAATATAAAATCGAAAAATTGAAAAATCCCAAAACTGAAATATCGAAAAACTGATAAATGAAAGAAAAACTGAAGAATGGAAAATAAGAAAAATCTCAAGACTGAAATATCCAAAAACTGAGACTCTAAAAAATTCTAAATATAGAAACATCCAAATCTAAAAATTTTAAAAATGAAAAATTTAAAAAACGAAAAATTGAAAATAGAAAATCTAAAACCGGGCAGTCGCAAAATCGAAATATTAAGAAATCGAAACATTTGAAAAATCCGAAAACCCGAAAAATTGAAATTCCGAAAAACTGAAATGAAAAATCGAGAAATCGAAAAATCTGAAATTTAAAAATCGAAAAATTGAAAAATTCAGAAAGTAAAAAAATCGACACACCGAAAAATCGAAATATTGAAAAATCCCAAAACTGAAATATCGAAAAACTGAAAATTGGAAGAAAAACTGAAGAATGGAAAAACTGAAATATCCAAGAGTTGAGAATCTAAACCATTGAAAAGTTGAGAAATCAAAAAATCAAAAAAGTGAAGTCGAAAAATCACAACCTTAAAAAAATCGAAAAATTGCAAAAATCAAAAACCTGAGAAATTGAAACATTGAAGAATTGAAGAACTGGAAACTCAAAACAGATTAAATGATAAATCGAAAAATAGAGAGTTTACAAAAGTCAAATTTGAAAAATAAAAAATCGAAAATTTGAAAAGACGAAAAATTGAAAAACAGAAAATCTAAAACCGGGAAGTCGAAAAAGCGAAAGATTAAGAAATCGAAACATTTGAAAAATTAGAAAACTTGAAAAACTGAAACATTGAAAAACTAAAAAAAACAAAAAGGTCAAAAATCGAAAAAGTAAAAAATCGAAAAAGTAAAAAAATCGTCATTTAGAAAAAAACTGAAATATCCAAAAAATAAGAAATTAAAAAATTGAAAATGTAGAAATTAAAAAGTCAAAAAAGTGAAGTCGAAAATTCAAATTTTAAAAATCGTAAAATTGAAGAGAAAAATTGAAAAAACGTAAAACTAAAACATCGGAAAATTTTTAAAAGTGAAACATTAAAAAAATCATTTTAAAAAACGGAAAGTTGAAAAACAGAAAATTTAAAACCGGGAAGTCGACACATTTGAAAATTCAAAAACTTGAAAAATTTAAATATCGGAAAACTGAAATTAAAATACGAGAAATCAAAAAATCTAAAATTTTAAAAATTAAAAATTTAAAATATCAGAAGATTGAAAAATCTAAAATTTAAAAATCGAAAAATTGAAAAAGTAAAAAAATCGACACATCGAAAAGTTGATAAGTCGAAGAATCGAAATATTGAAAAATCCCAAAACTGAAATATCGAAAAACTGAAAAATGAAAGAAAAATTGAAGAATAGTATCTGATATATCCAAAAATTGAGAATCTAAAAAATTGAAAATTTGAGAAATCGAAAAATCAAAAATGTGAAGTCGAAAAATCGAAACCTTAAAAAACATTGAAACACCTGAGGAATCGAAAAATTGAAGAATTGAAGAACTGAAAAATCGAAACACTCGAAAGTCATGAAGTGGGAAACACTGAGAATTTAATAAAGTCAAAAATTGAAAAATCGAAATATTTAAAAATTGTAAAATTGAGCAGGAGAAACACTGAAAAATCATTAAACTGAAACATCGGAAAATTGAGAAATCGAAAAATTGAAAATCGAGAAATTGAAAAATTAAAAACCTAAAAAAATCGAAATTTGAGAATTTATAAAAGTCACATTTGAAAAATTTGGAAAAACGAAAAATTGAAAAACAGAAAATCTAAACCAGCAAGTCGAAAAATCGAAAGATTAAGAAATCGAAACATTTGAAAAATTTGAAAACTTGAAAAACATGGACAAACTGAAATGAAAAATCGAGAAATCGAAAAATCTACTATTCTAAAAATTAAACAACTAAAATGTCAAAAAACCAAAAAATTGTAAAATCGAAAAATTGAAAAGTCGAAAAAGTAAAAAATCGACACTTTGAAAAACTGAAAAATCCAAAAACTCAAATATCCAAAAAATGAAAATGGAAAAATTTAAAAGTCAAAAAAGTGAAGTCGAAAAATCAAAACCTTAAAGATTTGAAAAATTAAAAAATCAAAAATCTAAGAGTTGAAAAAACGGGCAACCATCAATCAAAGGTTGTTTTTTGAAGCGAGCGTTGTGTATCCTTACTTGAGAAAAACTTCAGTAAGAAATTTGAAATTTGAGTTTCTTTGGTTAAAATTTGAGTTTTAGCTGTCGGTACTTTTCAAAGGCAAAAATAGTCTGGATCAAGAAGACAGGAACGCAGCGAATAAGTGTTACGGTTTTTTGGAAAGCTTCTTAGATGGGAGGGAATGGGTGGCCGGGGAAAATCTTAGTATCGCCGATTATAGTTTATTGGCGTCAATTTCGACTCTCAATTTGTTAATTTCGGTTGATGAGGAGATGTTTCCGAGGGTGATCGCTTGGTTGAAGAAGTGCGAAGAGCTGCCAGAGTGTGAAGACAACAAAAAGGGGCTTCAAGAAATGTCGCTTTTGGTTCAAACTAAGCTGAAAGTTGTCACAGAGTCTATGGTCAATCATATCTGATTTTTGTAATAAAAACGTAGCGTGAATGAATAAAAGTTTAAAAAAATGGTTGAAGGTTGTTTTGATAGAACTTTCCTCGTTCCGGAAGTGTTGCTAGTAGTAAAAGTGGTAAAATAAAAGTTGTACTGATTCAAGATGGAATCACACCGCTCACGCCAGTGGGAAACTAAACATTTAAAAAATCGAAAAACCAAGATGTCAAGAAATCGAAACTCCAAAATTTAAGAAATCGAAAAATTGAAAAATCACAACATCAAGAAGTTGAAAAATTGAAAAATCACAATATCAAGAAATCGAAAAATTAAGAAACCGAAATAGGCCAAAATCGAGAATACAGAAAGTTAAAATTTGCAAAATTGGAAAATCTAAAAATCTAAAACCGGAAAAATATAAAAATGGAAAAACTGAGAAACCGAAATAGGCCAAAATCAAAATATCGAAACATCCAAATCTCGATAAATCTGGAAATCAAAACATTCAGAAATTGAAAAAGTTTAAAAATAAAAAATTAAAATATCGAAAATTTGAAAAATTCGAAAAAATTGAAAAATCGAAGAATAGGAATGAAAAATATAGAAATCGAAAAATCTAAGATTTTAAAAATTGCGAAACTGAAATATCAAAAAATTGAAAAATGTAAAATTTAAACATCGAAAAATCATAAAAGTGAAGCCGAAAAATCGAAACCTTAAAAAAATCGAAAAATTCGAAAAATTGACAAATCGAAATAACGAAGAACTAAAATGAAAAATCCAGAAATCGAAAAATCTAAAATTTTAAATTGAAAAATTTAAAATTCAAAAATCGAAAAATTGCAAAATCGACAAAGTAAAAAAATCGCCACATCGAAAATCAAAAGTCGAAGAACCGAAATATTGAAAAATCCCAAAATTGAAACATTGAAAAACTGAAAAATGAAAGGAAAACTAAAGAATGGAAAAACTGGAAAATCCGAAAACTGAAATATCCAAAAAATGAGAATCTAAAAAAATTGAAAAACTGGGAAATCGAAAAAGCAAAAAAGTTAACTCAAAAAACCGAAACCTTAACAAAACGAAAAATTGAAAAATCAGAAACTTGAAAAATTGATAAACTGAAGAACAAGAAAATCGAAACACTTGAAAGTCAAGAAATGGGGATATCAAAACATGTATTAATTGAAAAATCGAAAAATTGAGAGTTTATAAAAGTCAAATTTGAAAAATTAAAAAATCGAAAAACCCAAATGAAAAATCGAGAAATCGAAAAATTGAAAAACAGAAAACCTAAAATCGGGAAGTCGAAAAATCGAAATAGGTATAAGAAATCGAAACATTTGAAAATTACAAAACTTGCAAAACTGAAATATCGAAAAACTGAAATGAAAAATCGAGAAATCAAAAAATCAAAAATTTTAAAAATTGAACAATTTAAAATCGAAAAATCGAAAAAGTAAAAAAATCGACACATCGAAAATCAAAAAGTCGGAGAATCGAAATATTGAAAAATCCCAAAATTAAAACATCGAAAAACTGAAAAATGAAAAAAACTAAAGAATGGAAAAACTGAAAAATCCGAAAACTGAAATATCCAAAAACTGAGAAAAGAAAATTGAAAATTGAGAAATCGAAAAAGCAAAAAAAAAGTGATTTGAAAAACTCGAAACCTTAAAAAAATCGAAAAATTGAAAAATCAGGAACTTGAAAAATCGAAAAATTGATAAACTGAAAAACAGGAAAATCGAAACACTCGAAAGTCAAGAAATGGGAAAATCAAAACATGTATTAATTGAAAAATCAAAAATTGAGAGTTTATAAAAGTCAAATTTGAAAAATTGAAAATTTGAAAAACGAAAAATTTTAAAAACAGAAAATCTAAACCGGGAAGTCGAAAAATCGAAAGATTAAGAAATCGAAACATTTGAACTTGAAAAATTGAAACATCGAAAAACTGAAAAATTTTAAATTTTAAAAATTGCAAAATTAAAATAATCGATCGATCCAAAAACTGAGAATCTAAAAAATTGAAAAATTGAAAAATCGAAAAAGCAAAAAAGTGAACTCGAAAATACGAAACCTTAAAAAATCGAAAAATCGATAATTTGAGCAACAGGAAAATCGAAGCACTCGAAAGTAAAGAAATGGAAAAGTCAAAACATTTATAATTAATATTTCAAAAATCGAAAAACTGAAAGTTTATAAAAGTCAAATTTGAAAAATTGAAAAATCGGAAATTTGAAAAAACGGAAAATCTAAACCGGGAAGTCAAAAAATCGAAAGATTAAGAAATCGAAACGTTTGAAAAATATGAAAACTTGAAAAATTGAAACATCGAAAAACTGAAATGAAAAATCGAGAAATAGAAAAATTTTAAATTCTAAAAATTGAAAAATGAAAACATCAAAAAATTAAAAGGAAAAATTGAAAAAACGTAAAACTGAAACATCGAAAATTTAAAAAATGAAAAGTTAAAAAATCGAAAATTTTAAAAAACGAAAAATTGAAAAACAAAATCTAGAATCGGGAAGTCGAAAAATCAAAAGATTAAGAAATCGAAACATTTGAAAATTCGAAAACTTGAAAAATTAAAATATGGAAAAACTGAAATGAAAAATAGGGAAACCAAAAAATCTAAAATTTTAAAAATTAAAGAATTAAAATATCGAAAGATTGAAAAATCTAAAATATAAAAATCTAAAAATTGAAAAAGGAAAAAAAAGACATCGAAAAATCGAAAAGTCGAAAATTCGAAAAACTGAAAATCGCAAAACTGACATCGAAAAACTGAAAAGTGGAAGAAAAATTGAAGAATGGCATAACTAAAAAATCCCAAAATTGAAATATGCAAAAATTGACAATCTAAGAAATTGAAAAATTGAGAAATCGAAAACTCAAAAAAGTGAAGTCGAAAAATCGAAATAAAAAAAATCGAAAAATTGAAAAATCAAAAATCTGAGAAATCGAAAAATTGAAGAATTGAAGAACAGGAAAATCGAAACACTCGAAGGTCAAGAAATGAGAAAATCAAAACATCGATTAATTGAAAAATAGAAATTTGAGAATTTATAAGTCACATTTGAAAAATTGAAAATTTGAAAAAACGAAAAATTGAAAAACAGAAAATCTAAATCAGGAAGTCAAAAAATCTAAAGATGAAGAAATCGAAACATTTGAAAAATGTTAAAACTTGGAAAACTGAAACATCGAAAAATTGAAATGAAAAATCGAGAAATCGAAAAATCTAAAATTCTGAATGTTGAAAAATAAAATTAAAATATCTAAAAAACAAAAAATTCAAAAAACGAAAAATTGAAAAATCGAAAAAGTAAAAAAATCGACACATTGAAAAACTGAAAAATCTCAAAAATAAAATATCCAAAAAATGAGAAATTAAAAAATTGAAAACTGGAGAAATTAAAAAGAGAAGTCGAAAAATCAAATATTTAAAAAGCGCAAAATTGAAGAGAAAAATTGAAAAAACGTAAAAATGAAATATCGAAAAATTTTAAAAATGAAAAACTAAAATATCGAAAATTTTAAGAAACTAAGAATTGAAAAACAGAAAATCTAAAATCGGGAAGTCGAAAAATCGAAAGATTAAGAAATCGAAACGTTCGAAAATTCGAAAACTTGAAAAATTGGAATGTCGAAAAACTGAAATGAAAAATCGAGAAATCAAAAAATCTAAAATTTTAAAAATTAAAAAATTATAATATCAAAAGATTGAAAAATCTAAAATTTAAAAATCGAAAAACTGAAAAAGTAAAAAAATCGATGTCGAATCGAAATATGGAAAAATCCCAACTGAAATATCCAAAAACTGAGAATCTAAAAAAATCAAAAAAGTGAAGTCGAAAAATCGAAACCTTCAGAAAAATCGGAAAATTGAAAAATTGAAGAACTGGAAAATCGAAACACTCGGAAGTCAATAGAAAATCAAAACATGGATTAATTGAAAACTCGAAATTTGAGCATTTATAAAAGTACATTTGAAAAATTGAAAATTTGAAAAAACGAAAAATTGAAAAACAAAAAATCTAAATCAGGAAGTCGAAAAATCGAAAGATTAAGAAATGTATTTAAAACTTGAAAAACTGAAATATTGAAAAACTGAAACATCGAAAAACTGAAATGAAAAATCGTAAAATCTGAAATTCTAAAAATTGAAAAATTAAAATATCCAAAAAACAAAAAATTCAAAAATCGAAAAATTGAAAAGTCGAAAAAGTAAAAAAATCGACACTTGGAAAAACTGAAAAATCTCAAAACTGAAATATCCAAAAAATGATAAATCAAAAAACTGTAAAATGGAGAAATTAAATAGTCAAAAAAGTAAGTCGAAAAATCAAATATTTAAAAATCGTGAAATTGAAGAGACAAATTGTAAAAACATAAAACTGAAACATTGGAAAATTTAAAAAATGAAAAGTTAAAAAATCGAAAATTAAAAAAAAATTGAAAAACAGAAAATCTAAAATCGGGAAGTCGAAAAATCAAAAGATTAAGAAATCGAAACATTTGAAAATTCGAAAACTTGAAAAATTAAAATATGGAAAAACTGATTTGAAAAATTGGGAAACCAAAAAATCTAGAATTTTAAAAATTAAAGAATTAAAATATCAAAAGATTGAAAAATCTAAAATATAAAAAACGAAAAATTGAAAAAGGAAAAAAAGACATCGAAAAATCGAAAAGTCGAAAATTCGAAAAACTGAAAATCGCAAAACTGAAATATCGAAAAACTGAAAAATGAAAGAAAAATTGAAGAATGGCATAACTGAAAAAGCCCAAAACTGAAGTATCCAAAAATTGAGAATATAAAAAATTGAGAAATCGAAAAATCAAAAAAATTAAGACGAAAAGTCGAAACCTTAAAAAAAATCAAAAAGTTGAGAAATCGAAAAATTGAAGCATTGAAGAACTGGAAAATCGAAATACTTAAAAGTCACGAAATGGGAAAAATTGAGAATTTACAAAAGTTAAAAATTGAAAAATTGAAAATCGAAAAATTGAAAAATCAGAAACCTGAAAAATCGAAAAATTGAAAAATCGAAGAACAAAAAACGAAAAATTGAAAAATCGAAAAAGTAAAAAAATCGACACTTGGAAAAATTCAAAAATCTCAAAACTGAAATATCCGAAACATGAGAAATCAAAAAATTGAAAAATGGGGAAATTAAAAAGTCGAAAAAGTGAAGTCGAGAAATCAAATATTTAAAAATCGTAAAATTGAAGAGACAAATTGAAAAAACGTAAAACTGAAACATCGGAAAATTTAAAAAATGAAAAGTTAAAAATTCGAAAATTTTAAAAAACAAAAAATTGAAAAACAGAAAATCTAAAATCGGGAAGTCGGAAAATCAAAAGATTAAGAAATCGAAACATTTGAAAATTTGAAAAATTAAAATATGGAAAACTGAAATGAAAAATTGGGAAACAGAAAATCTAAATCAAGAAACATTTGAAAAATTTTAAAATTTGAAAAACTGAAACATCGAAAAATTGAAATGAAAAATCGAGAAAACGAAAATTCTAAAATTCTGAAAGTTGATAAATTAAAATATCCAAAAAACAAAAAATTCAAAAATCCAAAAATTGAAAACACGAAAAAGTAAAAAAATCGACACATTGAAAAACTGAAAAATCTCAAAAATGAAATATCCTAAAAGTGAGAAATTAAAAAATTGAAAACTGGAGAAATTAAAAAGTCAAAGAAGGGAAGTCGAAAAATCAAATATTTAAAAATCGCAAAATTGAAGAGAAAAATTGAAAAATCGAAAAAATCGAAATATGTATTTAAAAATCGTGAAATTGAACAGGAGAAAAATTGAAAAAACAAAACTGAAACATCGGAAAATTGAGAAATCGAAAAACTGAAAATCGAGAAATTGAAAAATTAGAAACAAAAAAATCGAAAAATTGAAAAATTGAAGAACATGAAAATTGAAACACTCGAAAGTCAATAGAAAATCAAAACATGGATTAATTGAAAAATCGATATAAAAGTCACATTTGAAAAATTTGAAAGCTTGACAAACTGAAACATCGAAAAACTGAAATGAAAAATCGGAAAATCGAAAAATCTAAAATTCTAAGAATTGAAAAATTAAAATATCAAAAAAACAAAAAATTCTTAAATCGAAAAATTGAAAAATCGAAAAAGTAAAAAAATCGACGCTTCGAAAACTGAGAAATCTCAAAACTGAAATATCCAAAGAATGAGAAATCAAAAAATTGAAAAGTAGAGAAATTAAAAAGTCAAAAAAGTGAAGTAGAAAAATCAGATATTGAAAAATCGTAAAATTGAGGAGAAAAATTGGAAAAACGCAAAACTGAAACATCGGAAAATTTTAAAAATAAAACATTAAAAAATCGAAAATTTTAAAAAACGAAAAGTCGAGAAATCTAAAATTTAAAAATCGAAAAATTAAAAAAATCGACACATCGAAAAATCGAAAAGTCGAAGAAACAAGATATTTAAAAATCCTAAAACTGAAATATCGAAAAATTGTAAAATGAAAGAAAAACTGAAGAATCGAATAATTGAAAAATCCCAAAACTAAAATATCCAAAAACTGAGAAATTAAAAAAATAAAAAATTGAGAAATCAAAAACCAAAAAAATTGAAGAATTGATGACATGAAAAGTAGAAAAACTGAGTGGTTATAAGTTTAGAAAAAATTGGTCAAAGGTTATTTTGACAAAATAACTCTTACATCATTAAAAAACCGAAAAATCTAAATCCGAAAAGTTGAAAAATCGAAAATTGTACAAATTAAGAAATTTCCAAAATTGAAATGTTGATAAATTGATATATCAAAAACTTGAAAAATCGAGAAATCTAAAACTCGAAAAGTCGGACATTTTTGAAAATCGGAAAATGTAGATTTCAAGAAATCCAACTGAATTAAAAAGTGAAAAATCGGGCAACTGAAAAATTACAAAACTCAAATGACAAAAAATTGGGAAATCCAAAATTTAAAAGTCGAAAGGGCTAAATTCCAAAAGTCGAAAAATCGACAGATCCAGCACCTGAAACATCAAAAAATCGAAAATTCTAAAATCCTCGAAAACATTTGAAAATTATTTTTTTTATTTGTATATTTGGTCGCATCGACAGCTGGGTCATTAGCAACCTTATATAAATATCCAAAAATTGAAAAATCGAACAAAAATTTAACTGAAGAATTGAGAAATCCCAATAATGAAATATCAACAAACTGAAAATGGACAAATCAAGTAATCGAAAAGTCTAAAAATACAGAAACTTAAAAAATTTCAAAAACTTAAAAAATGGAACATTTTAAAAATAAAAGTCTTGAAAAATCGAAAAATTGAAGAACTGAAAATCTAAAAAATTGAAACATCGCAAAATTGCCTCTACGAAAAGTGGAAAAAACAAAAAGTCGATTAATCAAGAAATTGATAAACCGAAAAATAGAAAATTTGGGAAAGAAATATTTAAAAATTGTTAAATTGAAGAGGAGAAATATTGGAGAAATGTAAAATTGAAACATGGGAAAACTGAGAAATCAAAAATTGAATAATAAATAAACTGCAAAATCCCAAAACTGAAATTTCGAAAAATGAAAGAAAAACTGAAAAATGCCAAAACTGAAATATACAAAATGTGAGAAATTAAAAAATTGAAAAATTAAGAAATCGAAAAATCAAAAAAGTAAAGTCGAAAAATCGAAAACTTGAAAAACTGAAAAATCGAAATAGTTGAAAGTCAAGAAACGAGAAAATCGAAGTACATATTTTAAAATTGTAAAATTGCAGAGGAGAAAAGTTGGAAAAACGTAAAACGGAAACATCGGAAAATTGAAAAATTGAACAATAATTAAACTGACAAATCCCAAAACAAAATTTGGCAACAATCCGTGCGGTAGTTTAGATTAACTGACTAATAAATATCGACACAGACGCAGACAGACGACAAATGGAAACGAAAGACCTACTTTTCGTATTCTAGGTGTCATGAAACATCGATAAATAAAATCCAACCCAAAAAACAAGCTTTCCCATTTATTCCGCTAAACGCTTCGTAAACAATCCTCTCGACTCAATTGCCCAACAATTCTTAAATAAACCCCCCCACTTCTAACTCACTCAGTTATCAACAATCACCCATTAAACAAACATGGCTCCAACACTCTACATGATCCCGTACAGTCAACCCGTAAGAGCAACTTTAATGACAATCAAAGCCCTCAACCTTGACGTCAACCTAAAAGAAGTGAACTTAATCGACAAACAACAACTATCATCCGAATACACCAAGGTAAAAACTGCGATTTAATTTAACAGCGAGATATGCAACCAGCAATACACTCGATCATTTCTAGTTGAATCCGCAACACACCGTACCAACCCTAGTTGAAGAAGATGGGTTTGTTTTATGGGACAGCCACGCCGTGATGACCTATCTGGTGTCCAAATACGGAAAAGAGGACTCTTTGTATCCCAAAGACTTGCGAAAGCGGGCTGTCGTAGACCAGCGACTGCATTTCGAAAACGGGGTGCTTTTTCCCGACACCATGGCCATAATTGTAGGTGTCCCAACCCCAAAATTTCGATTCTAATTTATACCATGAGTGCTTTCCAGCGTCCTGTTATCTACGGGGGCGAGAAAATCATCCCCCAGGTTCGAATAGACAGAGTCAAAGAAGACTACGGTTTGTTGGAGAAGTTTCTACAGGGAAAAAAATGGGTAGCTGGTGACCACGTCACCGTTGCTGATTTCAGCATAGTCTCGTCCATTACCACCATGGACGTGGTGGTATCCATCCAAGGGGCGCAGTTCCCTAACATCGCAGCGTGGATCGAAAGAATGGAGAAGCTCCCGTACTACGACCAGAATAAAACGGGGTTGGACCAGATCCGGAAAGTTATCGAAGACAATTTAAAATAAATCTGTCAATTGCGCAACGTGGCCATATATTTTTTTAATAAATTTTATATTGTCGAGAGATTTATGCGTGTTTGTGAGTTTTCTGTCGCGAAAATTAATACATATTGTTGGAAAAAAGGTGGCGTTTGTTTTTGAACTTGCGAGTTGGCATTAGCGCCCATTAGAAATACATATTTTTTTGGAGGGAGTTGAGTGCTCTTTGGAGAATTTGGCTGTTTTATTAGAACAGCTGCCGAAAATTATTTCAAATTATGTATGTGCAGATTTTATAGAAGAAGAATAATGGCGTTTGTGTTGATATATAAATAATGCGGTGGTTCTGGGGCACGGGCCAAGCGGTTACTCGAACCAAGTGACACACATGTTTCAATTTTTGTTACGGGTTATTTTTAAATTTTCACTTCGGGCGTGATTTTTAAAGCTAATGTATAGTTTCATAAAATTAAAGTCCGTTAACATGCAAGTGAAAACTTGATTTAAAGTTATTTAGAAGATACCACCGGTGAGTCAATATAAAAAACATCTAAGGATTCCATGACTTTTCAAATTATTTCAAATAGTCTCAGGATTTTTTCAAATTTTTTCAAAAATTAAAAAACTTGGAGTAAATATGCTAAACAGCGAGACTTCCAAGATTTTTAAAAATATCTTTGAAAAAACAAAACATCAGAAGTCCCTAAGATACTTTCTCAATCTTAACAAAAAACCTTGAAATTTTTTCAAAAATGAAACATCTTGAAGATTCTTTTAAGTTCTTCCTACACTAAAACACTGTGGATTCCCAAAATACTTTAATTTCTTAAGAATAAAAGACTTCTTTCAGATTCTCTATAAAATAAAAAACAGAGTCCTCAAGATTTGTTAAAATCTGTTCAAAAACGAAACACCAGAGCCCCAAGATTCTTTCAAATCTTAAAAAAAAAAACACTAGGGGCCTCCAAGATTATTTCTGATCTTTTCAAAAAAATAAGACACCAGAAATCTGGCCTATCTACTTTTTTTCAAATATTTTCAAAAACAAAAATTCGGAATCCTCAATATACTTTCATTAAAGAATAACACGATTATTTCGAGTTCTCTATAAAATAAAACACCAGGGTTCCTCAAGATTCTTCTAGATCTTTTCAAAATCAAACACCAGAAGTTTCCAAGAATCTTTGCAATTCTTAAAAAAACACCATGAACCTCCAAGGTTCTTTAAGAACTTTTCAAAACAACAAAACATCAGAACAGAAGTCTCCAAGATACTTAATAACTCTTAAAAAAATAGAGGATTCTGTTAATATTTCTTTCAAAAATTAAACACCTGGGTCTCCCAAGAGTCTTTTAAGCCTTAAAGAAAAACACCAGGGACCGAGAAGATTATTTTTGCTCTTTTCAAAAAAATAAGACACCAAAAATCACCAAGATTCTTTTAGGTTCTTTCTACAATATAACACCGTGGACTCCCAAGTTTCATTAAAATCTTTTCTAAAACAAAAGATTAGGAATCTTCAAGATATTTTTATTTAAAAAAACAAGATTATTTCTGATTCTCTATAAAATAAAACACCAGGATTTCTCAAGATTCTTTCAAATTCTTAAACAAGCTTACGCTGGAGAAATAAAAATAATTATAGTCATTCAAGAATTTTTCGGGTTTGTATAACACCAAGAGCCTTCAAGATTCTTCTAGATCTTTTCAAAATCAAATACCAGAAGTTTCCAAGAATCTTTGCCATTCTTAAAAAAACACACAAAACGAATCCCTTTCATTTTTTTTTTCAAAAACATAACACCGTAGACCTTCAAAGTTCTTTAAGATCTTTTCGAAACAACAAAACACCGGAAATCCCAAAGATTCTGTAAAATAAAACGGAATATCCGTTTCTGGGACTTGGATAACGAGATAATTCGGGTAAAAGAAGACTATGGTATCAAATGTAGATTTTCAAAATTTTCGGTTTCAAAATCACATTTTTAAAATATCCCAAAAATGGTTAAAGATTGATTGTGAAAAATAGTTCGGAATTTTCAAAAATTTATCTAAAAATAAAAAAAAAAATCTTGGACTTCTGCAAGTCAAAATCAACACAAAATAGTCTTTAGTTATTTTCGAAAGTGCTCCAAAAACGTTCACAAAAATATGGAAAATTTGCGCTTTTTGCCTAAAATATCATAAAAGATTCTAGAATAAAGATACCGTCTAGTTGATTCGAAATAAAATTTTTAAAATACCCCAAAAATGGCCATATGTTATATATTTTTGAAGTTCAGGAAAATTGGATGGAATTTTCAATAAATTTTGGCGAAAATGACTTCTGTAAATCGAAATCAACCCAAAATTGCTTGTGGGTAATATTTGAGTGCTCAGAAAAAGGTGAATATTTTCAAAAGGGGAAAACGTTGAAAGTTTAAGCTTCAGGAAAAGTTGTCTAATAATGCAAAAAAAATGGGATTTAGATAACAACGAGATAATTCGGGAAAAAGAAAGACTGTTGATGGTACCAGATCAAGATTTTCAAAATTTTTGTTTTTTTTTTAATCATATTTTTAAAATATCCCAAAAATGTTTTTGTTTGTGTTTCTGAAAAATCGGTCGGAATTTCCAAAAATTTGTCTAAAAATTTAAAAAAATATCTTGGATATAGGTATGGACGAAGAAATTCGAAAAATATTGTCTGTTGATGGTCCCAAATTAATTTTCGGAATTTTTGGTGTTAGAGTCGAATTTTTAAAATATCCCAAAAATTGCTATATTTAAATTTCCCGGTTTTGGAAAATTTGTTGGAATTTTGGAAGAAATGTGCCGAAAACGACTTCTGTAAGTCAAAATCAACACAAAATAGCCTTAGTGATTTTCGAAAGTACTCAAAAAAGTTCAGAAAAATATGGAAAATTTGGGTTTTTTGCCTAAAAAATCACAAAAAATTCTAGAATATAGATGTCAACGGGCTGCTTCGGAAAGCATAGCGTGTTGATGATCGCAAACCAAGATTTTCGAAATTTTCGATTTCAAAATCAAATTTTTAAAATATCCCAAAAATGGCCTTTATTTATATATTTTTGTGGTTCTGGAATTTTCAACGAAATTTTGGCGAAAATGACTTCTGCAAGTCGAAATCAACACAAAATTGGTTATTGGTAACATTCGAAAGTGCTCGAAAAAGGTCAAAAATTTTCAAAAGGGGAAAATGTTGAAAGTTTGAGCTTTTGGAAAAGTTGCCTAATTATCAAGAAAAAATTTTGGGGTTTAGATAACAACGAGATAATTCCGGAAAAAAAAGACAGTTGAAAAATTTTTTGTTTTTTTTTAATCATATGTTTGAAATATCCCAAAAATGGTTATTTTTAATTTTGTGGTTCTGAAACCTCGGCTGGAATTTTCAAAAATTTGTCTAAAAATTAAAAACAAATCTTGGATACAGATATCAACAAACTGATTCTAAAAATCTTATTTGTTGATGGTCCCAAATTAATTAATTTTCAGAATTTTGGGTGTTAAAGTCAAATTTTTAAAATGCCCCTAAAATGGCCATGTTATATATTTTTGAAGTTCAGGAAAATTGGATGGAATTTTCAATAAATTTTGTCGAAAATTACTTTTGCAAATCGAAATCAACCCAAAATTGCTTGTGGGCAATATTTGAAAGTGCTCAGAAAAAGGTGAAAATTTTCAAAAGGGGAAAACGTTGAAAGTTTAAGCTTTAGGAAAAGTTGTCTAATAATGCAGAGAAAAAAATGGGATTTAGATAACAACGAGATAATTCGGGAAAAAGAAAGACTGTTGATGGTACCAGATCAAGATTTTCAAAATGTTTGTTTTTTTTTTAAACATATTTTTACAATATCCCAAAAATGTTTTTGTTTGTGTTTCTGAAAAATCGGTCGGAATTTCGAAAAATTTGTCTAAAAATTAAAAAAAATATCTTGGATATAGGTATGGACGAAGAGATTCGAAAAATATTGTGTGTTGATGGTCCCAAATTAATTTTCGAAATTTTTGGTGTTAGAGTCAAATTTTCAAAATATCCCAAAAATGGCTATATTTAATTTTCCCGGTTTTGGAAAATTTGTTGGAATTTTCGAAGAAATGTGCCGAAAACGACTTCTGTAAGTCAAAATCAACACAAAATAGCCTTTAGGTAATTTTCGAAACTGCTCAAAAAAGTTCAGAAAAAATGGAAAATTTGGGCTTTTTGCCTAAAAAATCAAATTCGAAAATTCTAGAATAAAGATGTCAACGGGCTGCTTCGGAAAGCATAGCGTGTTGATGATCGCAAACCAAGATTTTCGAAATTTTCGATTTCAAAATCAAATTTTTAAAATATCCCAAAAATGGCCTTACTTTATATATTTTTGTGGTTCTGAAATTTTCAACGAAATTTTGGCGAAAATGACTTCTGCAAGTCGAAATCAACACAAAATTGCTTATTCGTAAAATTCAAAATTGCTCGAAAAAAGGTCAAAAATTTTCAAAAGGGGAAAATGTTGAAAGTTTGAGCTTTTGGAAAAGTTGCCTAATTATCAAGAAAAAATTTTGGGGTTTAGATAACAACGAAATAATTCCGGAAAAAAAGGACAGTTGAAAAAATGTTTGTTTTTTTTAATCATATTTTTGAAATATCCCAAAAATGGTTATTTTTAATTTTGTGGTTCTGAAACCTCGGTTGGAATTTAAAAAAAAATGTCTAAAAATTAAAAACAAATCTTGGATACAGATATCAACAAACTGATTCTAAAAATCTTATATGTTGATGGTCCCAAATTAATTAATTTTCGGAATTTTGGGTGTTAAAGTCAAATTTTTAAAATATCCCAAAAATGTCCATATTTAATTTTCGTGGTTTTGGAAAGTCGGTTGGAATTTTCGAAGAAATGTTGCCGAAAACCGCTTCTGCAAGTCAAAATTAACACAAAATCGTCTTTTGGTAATTTTCGAAAGTGCTCGAAAAAAGTTCGCAAATACGGAAAATTTGGCCTTTTTGCCTAAAAATCCGCAAAAAATTCTGGAATAAAGATGTGGACGAGCTGATTTGAAAAACATAACGTGTTGATAATCAATTAATCACAAAACAATA